CCCCCACACACACAGACAAATGAATATAAAGAAATAATATAATATGAACAGCTTGCATCTCAACGCATAGGTCTCTTCCGGACAAGGTGACCTCATTTTGACCTCACTTATCTTCACACTCCATTGAATACCAGCAGAGAAAATGGTACTTCCAAGAAACGCTCAAAGAATCATTTTGCAAACAGGACTAGTGGTCCTGAAGACTTGTTCATGAAGAAGCACGCACACCGCATCCCTTAGAAACAACATAGATATCCGGATTTCTTTTATTCAGATTTTGCAGGCGGCAGCAAAGGCTTGCAGTTGTAGATGGTGCGCATTGACCTCTGGTCCCACTATTGTCGGTCGCGGGTTGAAAAGTGGACCCTGCCCAGCTGTTTCGATCATTTTGAGGCCACGACCTATCTGCACTCACCGCAGAAGATCGACCCCCCCCCCCTCGCGCCCCTTCCTCGCCTCCACATTCCCATCACCAAATTCTAGTTAGTTCAGAACACCGCACCAGCTATCATATAAGAGACTGACAAAGTAGAGCAAGGCCAACAGACCATTTGCTGTACTATATTATTTCCTTCAAATTTCTTTCTCAACTTTTTTTCGTTCGTGTTTTATTTCTTTTTGGAAGGTCCATGTTCGGTTTCAGCGAAATGCTACTTCCTTCTTCTTTGTGTAACTGAAACACAAATCATCTGTACTTTGTCTCTTAAAGTAAATTTTATAGGTAGAAGTCTCAGATAGTTTATCATAATCTGAAGAATCAAGGAGATGCATAGCGGATGGATTATAGCCTCAAGGTTCAGCTAATGCAAACAATAGTTCTTCCGTCAATGCATCAACAGAGGAGAACACTTCTTTTTTTTTTAACCAAAGAAATACAGATTAACATGATTTGTGGCCTCTGCAATAACTAATGAGACGTTTTATGGCAGAGAAGTTCGCAGCTTTTCGAACATTTAAAATCTTCAGTTACACTTGTAGATGTGCGCATCTTGCGGGCTTCTCTCTTAGTTTCAGTAAGCATTTCTAATTCGAGAAGCCACATATGATTTGCAGGTCTCTGAGAATAAGAGCGCCATTAACAGCATTTAAAAAAAAAAGAAAAACTGACGGCAAATCGACACAGAGAACAGAAGCATACTAAGAAAGAAATCCAGATGTTGTTTTCTTTTTAGCTTTTTGAACGTTACACGGCCTACTCAAAACACATTCCCTAAATCAAGGGATGCGAATAAGGGGTACAAGTTCGTCTGAGATAGGGGGCAGTCGTTACAACAATTCTTGAAATCTTCCCGAGAAAAATCGAAAGAAGTTATCTTTTACGAAAAGACCTGGCCTACAAGATTATTTGATTAGTCCTGTTAAGCCGCATACTTAGAATACGAAAAAAAACTTGTGTCATTAACAACAAAACCAAGACATGAAAGTGTACTTCAAAATCTATCATTGACCTTTGCTGACGTTGGTGTTTCATGAGTACCATTTGGTCGACTCACGGGTTATTTGCTAAGCGTCATTCATACAGTGACTTTCAACTCTTCCTTTCTCTGTCCATTAATACACATATAAGTAGTTATGTATACACATTTACAC